TTTTTTGAGACAGGGTTTCTCTGTGTAGCTTTGTGCCTTTTCCTGGAACTCACTTGGTAGTTCAGGCTGGCCTCAAACTCACAGAGATTCGCCTGCCTCTGCCTCCTGAGTACTGGGATTAAAAGCATGTGCCACCACCGCCCAGCTCACAATTTCCAGTCTTAATCTAGTGAAGCAATAATGAGTTGGAGAATGAAAATAAGTAAACACACTTGAACAGGTAACAAATGAGGTAGCTGAGATTTTATTTACCTTTTCCATAATACACAATCTAAAAGTCCTGATGTTTAAACCTTTCCATTCCATACATGATAACTTTCTGTTATTAATCCTATTTTTCCTTTCCATTGTGTCCTAAAATTTTACCTCTTGACTATGTACTAACTGATGCTATACCTGAGCTGTAGAATGCCTTACATGCACAAAACTCTTGGATCAATCTCCAACACAAAAATCATTCAACTAAACAACTGTATAATTTATATTACTTTTAAATCTTTATTATCTAAAACCAATCATCTATAGTTTATAACATAAATAAATTTTATTTTAGTAGTAAATATGCAAGTATTCATAAAAATTTATCTTATTTTTTTTCTTTCTCAAGGATTTTTATGTTTTCTTTCTTTCTTTCTCCTTTTTTTTTTAGTATAGGACTCAACCATTAAAATACCTAAGAAGAAAACCTATCATCAAATAGTCATAGACTGAATTGTAAGTAAATTTTCTACTATTTCCTGTATGATAATGTTACACAAATGTCAAGTTGTTGGCATGTGGTTTGTTTTAAATAACTTCTGTGATAATGAAGAGATATTTAAAAATGTGACAGGGCCAAGTTTCCCCTGCATTTTAAATTCACTTTTAAAACCTATTCAACAGTTACTAGCATTAATAGATTGTTTTATATTTCTCTCAATGTATGTCTTCCTCTTTCTTATTTGTCTTTCAATTAGTGTCTTATGTAGTTATAGCTCACTCTATACTCTGGTTTCTCTTCAGATAGTGTAAATCTTTTGCCTATTATTAATTTATATGCAAAAAAGTTGAGAATTCAAAACATAACTTAAAACATATATATGAGATCAAATGTACAGATTGTATATATTAATAACATATCATTATCAACTGTTTTCATTTGTATAAATGGAAAAGATAAAATATTCAACCAGATATAACAGTATGTATATATAATATCTCACTTGGGAAGGGAGGTTGCGGCAAGAAAATTTTGTCAAACTTATGGCCATACTGAGGTACATAATGAGTTCAGTCCAGCCAGACATACAGTGTGAGACCCAGTTTGAAAAGAGCAGAGGTAAAATCAGTAAAATTCAAAGTAAATATTCTCATTTCTAACATTAATGCAATTGTAGTACCTTATTTGATTTGGTATGTCTGTTAATTTTGAAAGTCTGCAATAAACATGAACTTGCTTTGTGGGAGATAAAACGCTAATCCAAACTAAAGTCCACATTGATTTGCATTCAATTCCATGCAAAGGTGCAGAAAATGATTCTGGTTTGATGTCCTCTCACACATTTTCTCCCACCACACTACCACCAGCATTCCTTTATAACTACTCATGATGATCTAACATCAGCCTACCTGAAGGCTTCAAGCAAAGTGCTTTTCTTTCATTTTAAGCTACCAAATATTTTAGAGTTCACTATGTTGCAAAAGTGTTTTAAATGTCTATTAAGGTATCAATTTTCATCAGATTAAAATTAACGTAATGTATGTATTGTGAGTTTTGATTTATGAAATTTAATTAGCATAATAAAAAGTTAATCACATTATTACTAATAAATTCAGTTATCATACTCATCACGGTGAGTATACCATAGATCCACGTGTTTTGAGTTGGTTGAAGTGAAAACTGAAAGCTAATTTTATGTCCCTGGATGCAAACTAAACATATAGGTTTGGAAGTTAAATCATTGTATCATATGTTTGTGATAAATTACTCAATATGTATAAATTTTACAATCTATTCATCTAGATTAGCATTAACCTAGACTGATATATTTATGCTACTATTTATGTTGGAACTATATATGTTGGCTTAATACCAACGTTCTTGTTGTTGACTCAGAAGTCTTATCTGAATAATAAGAATGTGTCACAATTTTAATGTGTACTCCAGATTTTTATTAGAGAAAACAGAGTAATGACTAGTTTAGGAAGATGACAATACTTTAAATCATTAAAATCAATTTACAGCTGTTAGATTCCTCCACTGAAAATAGAAGAAGAAAATAAAGCTGAAAGAGAAATTGTATTCTAGTTGTATGTGGTTGGACATTGGGGCAAGGACCTATATCATATTGATTTCATAATAAATTCTGATTAATCTTTGGGTCTTCTCATGTATTAAGCTTTTATAATAAAATATAATATTTTAAGACTTAACTATCAAGTGATTTTTAATAAGTAGGTTAGACTTGAGAGTAATAAGTTCAAAAGGAACATTTTCATTATGTTAGTTAATAATATTTGCAAATTATTGAAACATTATACTCTATGTTATGCTCAGCATTTACCGTGTGTCTCTTCTTGAGAAACCTCACCATAGTTGGCATGAAAAGTATCATGGCTCCACTTGCTCAAGATATTGACTGGCTCCTCTGGGCTTCCTTTGACCTTACAGAACCCTGGGTTGTATAGTCACTTGCTGAGATGCGCATGCCCTGTTTCATGTTGAAGTTTTGTAACTCATGAAGGTAATAGCAGGGACTTCCTTCTTACAAATAAGTGTCCTTCTCCATTTCCATGTTGATGCTGCCACTTGTCTGGCTGCAAGATCCTGGGGTGTAGAAAGTTGTGCTTGAATCCCTGAGAATATTTTTCTCTCTCCATGAAGCAGGAAATTTATAGGCATGTCATATCCTCTGAGAGACAGAGTCAAACAGACTGTTTATGAGAAAGAATATGATTACGGACTTTCAGGCTTCTTGTACATTCTTGATGATTGGCATTACTCATACCACAGAGTCAAACATTCATTCCTCTCTCTTACTCAATAGTGACAGCTGTTTGAAACATGTCTTGTTGAAGAAACAACCCTCATCCAGCATGTAGTAAATCGTAAATCTCCATTTTCAACCAAAAATTTCAGCTTTTCCAAAAAAGTAAATAAATAAAATAAACCAGCAAATAAAACCTTATAAAATTTTACATTAAAAAGAAACCTTAATACCCATTCACTACAAGTTTTTTTTTTTTTTTTTTTTTGTGTGTGTGTGTGTGTGTGTGTGTGTGTGTGTGGACTGTGGTTCAAATGTGGATATCAGAGGATGATTTACAGAAGTCTGTTTTCACTTTCCATCATGTTGATTCTATATATTGAGGTAAGGTTAGCAGTCTAGAGTCAAACACATTAATCCGACGAGCTGTCTCCCTTTAAACATATGATTTCAAATGTACTTATTTATTGTTTATATGTGTATTTTCAAATGCTAAGAAATGAACCCAGAGCCTTGTAAATGTAAGGTAAACACACTCACTGGATGATCTGAAGCCCCCACCAGGGTATTTTTGTGTCAATTTTAGAAAATAATACTGTACCATCATACATGTGTCATGTTCTGTTACATATTTCAACTGATAGTTCACTAATGTGACTATAGGCAACAGAGTGTAGCAGACACTTGTTTGAACTCATTACGTTATTACATTTGGCTCTATCTTAAAAATCTATGCTTGTGCATGCTCCTTAGAATAACACATATGGTGTTGTTCCACTTTCCAAAATTTAGAAGTTCTTTCTCAGCCTTTTGCTATACAAGGATGGAAACTATCATGGATTCAAAATGCTACTATGTTATATTACTTACAGTACTGTAAGCAGTTTGCTATTGCTTAATTTATATTTATACATTCTGAAAATGTGTGTTATTACATGTAAATTTCAAAGCTACTTAAGAAGAAATTTCGAAGCAGTAACTGAAACACTGATGACTCATGGAATGCTCAATAATTTTGTTAAAGCATAGGTTTTCATTATGCTTCATATACTGATGTTTTCCTTGTTTGTTTTGGTTTTAATAATGGGTTCTTCCACATTGCTCACCCTGTTAGGGTACTCTCTATACAGTCTAGACAGCCTTCAAACTCACAGTCTTCTCTCACATCCTCAGGACCATTATACTTAGCTAGTATGTGCTATTATTTAAGATTTATTTTAATTCATAATGATGTGTATATGTGTGCCTCTATGTATACATGTGTGCATATGAATGTCAGGTCAATGGGAGGTCAGAGGCATCACATAACTTGGAGATAGACTTACAGGTGGTTGTGAGCTACCCATCTAGGTGTTAAGAATCAAATTTGGTATGCTAGTCATAGTAGTACACACCTTTAATTCCAGCACTTGGAAGGCTGAGGCAGGCACATTTCTATGAGAATGACGCCAGCCTGGACTACATAGAGAGTTCCAGGACAGCCAGGACAGTTACACAGAGAAACCCTGACTCAGATTCTCAAAAACCAAAACAAGGACATGAAAAAAATATCAATTTTGGATCCTCTGGAGAAGCAGTACATATTCTTAACAACTGAGACATCTCTTCAGTCCACAGCTGTACAGTTTTGTTAATGTATGGTATGGATTGTTTCAATAGGGTACAGCCACCAATTTCAGTGATATTAATCATTCTCATTAATGTTCCTGAGTAACTGTGGTGTTTGGCACTTTTATAGCCTCATCTGCACGAGGGAGAAATGTATATAAAGGCTTTCAGTTATCTAAGTTGACTTCAACTACCCCAGCTTTTTCACAGAAGAAATGACTGAGGAAATACATCTGGACCAAATAGGCATCCACACTCAGGCTCTTAAGTTATAATTTTCTACTTTTTAAAAATGTTTATTTTTCATTCTTAAAATTTTCACACAGGTAGACAGAGAAATATGGTCATTCCTGACCCCCAATTATCCACTGTAACTTGTCCCTTATCCTCCAATATCCCCACTGCCAACTTCAAGTCACATTTTTACATTTTTGATCACAAACTAAGTTCATTTCATGTTGTCTATACACGCATGGATGTGTGTTCTATCTCAGCTTTCCTGGTGGCATCCACCCTTTTACACTCATTGCTGTTGTGTTTTCTGTTCTGTCCCTAAAAAAAAAATAAATTATATTCAGTAACATTTGCTCTTGGATTCAAATCCAGGCACATGCATGTTTTAGAACCTCTTTGATATAGTTTCACAAGTTTAAAACTAGGGATTATTATAACCTATCCCCATGTACTTTAATGTTACCCAAAAAAATATATTGTCATTGCCCCGTGTGATTTAAAACAGGGTCTGAATATTTTTATAGCAAAGATGTGGATTTTATTTATTAAGCCTACTCTGTAATGATAAGGAAAGCCATTGTACAGACATGAAGACACCTACTAATAAAGTGTCATTTAGTTCTGATTTAATACAATCCTTGGGCACCAGTAAATAACATCATATTCAAAGTCAATGCACAAAGACCTTAAATTCTGAAGTTTTCTTTCCCCAAATGTTGGTTTATGCAGAATCAGTTTTTAAATTTATTGTATAAGGACTGAATACATTAAAGAAAAAAAAAAAGATCTCTTTCTCTCTCTCTCATTTGCTCTCCTATTTTTCAAGAGATTATTTCCTGAGATTCTCTGTTCCTTCACTTACTGTGCTTACCCATGATGTTTGAATAGCTTCCTCCCTGGAAAAAG